TCCAAAGCATTCAACAAATCCACAGAGTTGATAAATTTGACAGTGCGTACTCGCCCCTTATCAAACGTGTAATGCTAATCAACGGATATCCTAGGTTACGATGTACATGGTCCTACAAGGCGTTGGTGAGTGTATTTGCAGGATTCTGAAGCCAATCTGATCGATTTCCTGTGTATAGCACCCATGGTATGGGGTCCATTATCTGATCATGTCGGCAGACGTCCAATATCTGCAGCATGTCTTCTCGTTCTCTCATTGTCGTGTGTTGGGCTCGCCCTTGTCCCGACCAACGCTTATTGGCTGCTGATGCTCCTTCGGTGCGTTCAAGCAGCAGGTTCTGCAAGCACGATTGCTGTTGGTATGTCCTTTTCTTTGGAATAAATCTTACATATATAACTCAAGTGCGTCAGGTGCTGGTGTTGTGGGGGACATCTCTACACGTGCTGAAAGAGGAGGTTTCTTTGGGATATTCACTGTAGGACCCATGGTAGGTCATTTGAATGATTGTATTTCAATGCCCTATGAAGGCATACCTCCAGATCGGACCTGCGATTGGACCCGTTATTGGAGGAGCTCTTACAGGGAGCTTAGGTTGGCGGTACGGATCGGATTGTCGTGTCTGAGAAAAATTCTAATTTATGCATCAGTTCCATCTTTTGGTTTTTGACGATCGCTGCTTCGATTTGCTTCGTCATTATTATCCTGTGAGTCTTACTCAACTTTTGTACTCCAGCATCATCTTAACAATATCTCAGATTTCAACCCGAGACGCTGCGTACACGCGTAGAAAGTGGTAGAGATAACACACCCATCATGCATAAACCAATTATACCCATAATTGGCCGTAAAAAACCACTCGCTCCTCGGCAAAGCCCTACCTTGACGCCTAGAATCGCAAAAAATCCGTTTCGCATTTTTCTCAACGTGGACGTCGACATCCTCCTCGGAATTAGCGCCCTAGCGTGTGCGGTGTTTTACGGTGTTCTAGCATCTATCTCCTCTTTGTTCGTGCAATTTTATCCATATTTAACGGAGATCGACGTCGGCTTGTGCTTTCTTGGTATTGGAGGAGGTATGGCCATCGGTAGTACCGTCATGGGAAAGGTTCTCGACATAGAATATCAGCGTATTAAACGCACGATGAGAAATAAGGTAGGAGGCGAGGAAGCACAAGCTAGCCTCGCCTATCAAGAAGATGACTTTCCAATTGAGCTGGTAGGTCCCTTGTCTCCTTTAAATGCCTGCTCAAATATTAATACACCTTAACTTATCCATAGGCTCGTCTACGATTAATGCCAATTTATGTTGTCATCCTCGCCGCATGCTGCGCCGGATATGGCTGGGCTTTGGAGAAAAGAGTGAATATTGCATTACCTGTTGTCCTCCATTTTATCAGTGAGTCATTTCTATCACTCTTCTTGCAAAAATCCTTGACTGTTGGAAATTAGTGGGCTTTGTCAGTATATCATTGATGAACACCTCATCGACCCTTATGATCGACCTTCTTCCTGGTCAAAGTTCTTCGGTAACCGCATGCGTAAATATTTAGTCTTTCATTGACTATACCCAGTCGAGCTTACGTCTTCAACAGAGTAACCTCACCAGATGCACACTGAGTGCAGTCCTTGTGTCTTTAATTGACATAATAATAAGATCTATTGGAGCAGGGTGGACATATGTATTACACAGTGGTATCGCATTGTTAATCCTCCCCCTTATTTTTCTCTCTGTTCGGTTTGGTCCACGGTACCGTATGCAACGGCGGCGGCTTCAATTGGCCAGTACCTCAAGCTAAGATTGATTCTCCTGGATGTCTCTAGAACAAATATATACCTTTTGCCAGATAGTACTAGAATATGCTAGATACCCTCACATGTATGACCTCATCATCGGTTCTTCTTGTTTGCTTTGTACTATAAAGCTTTGATAATCAACATGTTGTGTACATCTGGCAATTGGTAATAAGGTAAGGAATGAACCTTGCAATTGCATGTAGATACAAGTGTTTCTAGCTAGCTAAGAGTTTATATTCCTGAAATGCTTGTAAGAGTATCCTAAGGGTTTGTAATAGCCAATAAAGGTGTCTAACGAGTGACTAAATCCTAATAGAACATTAAGGATAGTTATATGTACAGGGGTATCTGTACAGCTAAATTTATATTTCTAACAGATAATTGCAATCCGAGTAGACACTTCAAAGGCTGTACACAGCCACATTGATTCCTTTAAATAATGAATTGTGCGTCACACAACCTTGGCGCCGGACAACGACGTGCTCATTCTACAATGCCTTACTGCCAACGCTGCAATATCGGATTTGGCTCGCATCGCGCGCTTGCCCAGCACGAACAAGATTCGAACAACCACCACATATGTAATCAATGCGACATTGACTTCTCGACCTGGGCGGGTCTGAAGGAGCATTGGGTTCAAAGTCCCTATCATGTTTACTGCCAATACTGTAACGAACACTACGATCACCTTGACGATATTGAAGAACATTACGAAGAATATCATCATTATTGTTCAGCTTGTCGGTGCGTCTTCAGGAACGACGTTGGCCTTCGAGAGCATTATCGTCAATCAAAGCGGCACCATTACTGCATTTCATGCGACAGACACTTCCAAAGTGCCAGTAACCTCGACGCTCATCTCAATTCTTCGGTTCATCGCCAGAAGACGGTTATGTGTCGTCTTGGTTGTGGCAAAACCTTCGTCACCAACTCCGCCATGTTACTTCACCTGGAGGGGGGAACCTGCTCCTCTGGAATGACTCGCTCAACGGTAAACCAATTTGTTCGCCAATACGACACTTCCAACTTCATCACCGATCCCTCGCGTCTTCTAACTGGTGCATCTGAGACACAGATCACGCACATTGCGAGTGACGCAGCGTGGAATGGCCGCGCTTTCGAGTGCTACCTTTGCCATAGCCAACATCCATCACTCAAGGGTCTCAACCAACATCTCTCTTCCCCTAAACACGAAGATCAGATTTATGTTTGTCCCGGACCCAGTTGCAGGACGCGTTTCTCGACACTCAGTGGTCTTGTCCAGCACATCGAGAGTGAGCGGTGTGATGTCCTCAAATTTAAAGTGGTCCAGAGAGGCATGGAGAGCTTGTTTGGGACCATGGGAAGGCTGGGCTACCGTTAAAAACCTCACTCCATTCAATTGTTTAGTTTTATCAAGGCTGCCGTACCCGCGAAACTTATTTTACCCCGACTCCGACTTTCGAAGCTGTCCCATATTCTCTACGCGTCGTATACCACGTCATGAATCCAAGCTAATTTACACTTCATACCATAACTTTCTGTTCCGAGTCTTATAGCGAATTCATTTCCAAATGTCATCATATCATCCATTGGACCCTGATCTACATAAAGCAAGTACGGAGATCAATTAGTAGCTCCGTGATCCGCTGCAGTAACTCGCTGGTCCAAAATCCATAAATCGACATTTTGAATAATTTTCGCCAAATATTGGTTACAGTCTGATGGAACGTTTTGAACTTGGAAACAAAGTGTTTCCAGGTCCTGCTTTGTCTGATCTCCAATTTCAATTTCTTGGTTAACCACTTTGAATAACTCGAACTAAAATAAGAAAACTACTATTATCTAAGAGTTTTTATTGTTCAAAATTTACACACGGCTCCGTGTGATTTCAAGGAAACAGCCACATGGGATTGTTCTCATACTACCTGACTCTCTACCGTCAGTAACCCAAGATGCCATACTGCGAACGCTGTGATCGCTCCTTTCGAAATATCAGTGCCATGGAGCAGCACCAACGAGATTCCTCCGAACATTATATCTGCCACGATTGTGACCGTGATTTCACCTCTTGGAACGCTCTGCAGCAGCATTGGCTTCAAAGCCCGCTTCACGAGTACTGCCAAGACTGTGATGAACATTTCGATGATCATGACGACCTCGAAGAGCATCTTGAATCCGAGCATTGGTACTGCGGTGACTGTGAGCGTGTATGCAAGAGTGAGATGGCGTTGAAGGCACATTACCGTCAATCCGATAATCACTATTACTGCGAACCATGCGACAGGCATTTTTTAAACGAAAATGCTCTTCGAAATCATCTCAACTCTTCAACTCATCAACCAAAAAATGTCAAGTGCCCATTCAGAGGCTGTGGCAAAGCCTTTGTTTCTCGGGCAGCCCTCGTCTTGCATCTCGAAGGTGGTGCTTGTCCATCGGGCGTCGACCGTAAGACCATTAACAAACTGGTCCACAAGTACGACAAGAACCATATCATTACCGACCCTTCCCGGCTCATTGGAGGTGCCTCGAGTAATGACTCGGACGAGGATGTGGAGGATATTGCCACCGAGCGGTCGTGGAACGGCTTTGGCTACGAGTGCTATTTTTGTCAGAAAGAGTTTCCGACTCTCAAGCGACTCAATCAGCACCTGGCAAGTCCGGTGCACAAAGCACAAATATATCGTTGCCCTGGACGTCACTGCGAGGCTCACTTTTCGACACTCAGCGCTTTGGTACAGCACATCGAAAGCCAGAAGTGCGACGTATACGAAAATAGAGCTGTGAAGAAAGATATGGAAACTATTTTCAAGCAGATGGGCAGGCTAACTATGTAGATCTTATTGTATCCCAGTTGTATCCTTCCTCTTATTAAATGAGTCGTCTAACCTCTTGGAGTGACACATCAAACCCACCCGAGTGCAAGCCCAACTCATCGAGAATGCGACATGTTATGTCGGTCTACAGTAAATATGACACTCCCTACCCTTGTCTTCATAAACCTCATATTAGATACTTCTCATTTAGGCACCTTGAACTCATATACAAACTCGAGATCGTCTCTTTGGCTAGAGCTCCGATCGTGGGAATGTTCCCCACATCGAGGTGATGGGCGATCAATATCGATCGATTGAGCGTCAAACCAACATTCCTCGATGTAAGTATGCTCAGAACTTGTTTTAAAGCACATTTCCGTGAGTTCTGAACAACAGAAAAGCACAAAAAGAATGAACCCCACCCGATTCGAACGGATGACCCCGAGGAATCCGCAGCCCGAGGCTACACAGAGAGCGCCATGTAGCCCCGGGCTGACGCTGGAATCTCGTACTCTACCAACTGAGCTAGGGGTCCTCAGCTGGGTTATTCGATATTAGTATATATAAGGTGCTTAGAGCTATAAGGCAGAGTACTGCTGTTTGCCGTTGAAGTACACTGGGTAATATATAAAACTCTCCATTGAATTAGCTAGAACAAGATCACAATGAATATCTAGATCGAAGGAGCGAGAAGTGTAGTCATTGAATCAGATTTTGACGTAGAGAGGTTTCCTTGTTTTAGGTTTGTCGGAAAGTATCAGTGGCATATATATATATTCCAATCTGCACTGTAGGATAAAGAATACAGTTTTGTCAATCACTTACTGATAAAAAAAAAAGTGACAAAGTTAGACCAGCACTAGAAAACTAGTTCTAGAACTGTTATATCAACAAAGGAGGGAGTTGAAAGAATTTCGGTTGAAGTTGCTGTAGAAGTTGATCGAGGAGCGCAAGGAATGTGGATGAAAATCAAAACCCAGAAGGCAACAATTGATCAACATGATGGGTCTGTGTTTGGAATCCTTTCTCACAGTGGCGAAGAAGCAGAAGCGTATCAGTCGGCTTATGCAGTATCATAATACGAGGAGTAACATCTAAGGTTTTATTTACCAATGGTATGTAAGATAATAAAGTTACAGACGCTGTCCAATAGGCAAAGAAGGAAAAAAAGAGCGTGTGTGATACGATGCAGATCTGTAGGAATGCGTAGTAGTTTAAGAGTGCCGGTTGAAAGAGTGGAAGCGTGGAAAAAGGAACTGAACGACGATATGAATCCAGTATCGTGAATGCGCACGTACGTTCGAAAGACGGCCGAGCCTACATAATAATACAATCCTTCCCCTTCCCATTGATCTCGTCCTGCCCACGATGGAGTACCGAACCCGGTCCACCAGGTTGATGTACAGCCTGGGTCTGCGAACCTTTCAGACGCTGCGCAGCACGCTTGTCGCCAAGCTCTGCAGCGCGTTTGTAATACGCAATTGCCCTGCGAAAATAAACCATGAGAACATAAATTTAAATGGCGGAGATCTTGCCAAGAAACAAGAATAGACCACTCACTCTTGCATATTCGAAGTAGAACCAATTCCGACTTCTGTAAAATACCCAACCGCGTACATTGCTTTCACAAGTCCGGCGTCGGCTGCCCGCTTTGCCCAGAGATAAGCCTCTGTATCGGATTGTGGAAGAACACCAGGTGATCCGACGAGATACCATGCGGTAAGGGCAAAACATGCGTCTCGGTGGTTTTGTTGTGCCGCAATGTTCTGTGTATGAAGTCATAAGCAATCGCGCTGAAGCTGACATCAATAAAACTTACATAGTAATGTATTGACAGAGCAGGGTCTTGTGGACATCCCATTTTGCCGTATTCGTAACACTCTCCGAGTCGATAGGCACTTGGCGCATATCCAAGTTCGGCTGCCTGCGCCAGCAATTCTGTCGAATATTCGTAATCAACGAATAGAACGTTGTCGATACCTCTCTCATGCAGTAAAGCAAGCTCATGAAGAGCATGAGGAAATTCTGCTGTAGCATGCTCAGCACTTCGTTTCAACCACTTGACACCTTCCTTTGGGCTTTTCGACAAGCTTAACTCTCCATTCAACTCCGCAATGCCAAGGCGGTACATTGCACCAGGATGTAAGGCGGCCGCTGCTTTTTTGAAGAACTGCAGTGCTTTTGGAGATTCACGTCTACAACCCCAGCCATTCTCGCAACATACGCCAGCTCGGTAGGCGGCATCCGGGTGGTTATGCTTGGCGGCGAGAACGAAAAGAGGATATGCACGATCAAAATCTTGCTTGTTCTTTACCGTCCCAATACCATTGGCGTAGCAGTCTGCGAGGAAGTATTGACTTTGGGGATGTCCTCGGTCGGCTAGTCGTTTTAGGAGTGCCATCGCTTCTCGAATTAAGTCCTCCCGTTTCTCAATGGCCTTTTCAACTTCCATAACGTTTCCATGGGTTTGCACTGGAATGGGCATTGTCTTCGAAGCATCGATCATGAAAACAGCAAACTCGAATTGAAGGTCGGGATCCTGCGTTTTCTTGGCATTGGCTCGGTAAAGCTCGAGTGTGCGCTCATGTGAAAGGAGCGAGGCTTGGTTTCCTGGCCGCAAGTGCGACTGGTCGAGCAGAGGTCCAGGAGGTGGGGACGGAGAGCGAACTGACTGACTTGCATGAGATCCTTGTGTTCGATAATCTCCGACGGCGGGGTTATAGCCAGTAGGTGGATGTAGACCACTATTCTGGCTGGCAGCACCACTGAAAAAGTCGTCGTTGTCATCTTCTGGAGCTGGAAGACGTTCGTCATATACATCTTGCTCCTGTTCATATTGTTGAGGAGGAATTGCAGGGAGGTCTCTGCTGGAATGACTGGCAGGCATTTGCATCGCTTGTGAGTGCCGAGGGCTGTTTGTCGGATATTCCGTAAACTCTCTCGACGAAGAATGGCGAGGTTGCTGATTCCAAGGCTTAGGCGGCGACTGCATTTCAGGGGGAAGCTGAGGATCGTAGGTGGTCATGGTGAGAGGAGATGGTGGTGGTAGTGGCGGAAAAGGTAAGCCCCTTCGGCAAAGTCCAAATCTTTATTTAGTTACGTTTGAACTTTCATTACAGTTTCGTAACTAACCACCATGGAGACCTCTCTGCGTTCAAGGCCTTCACAGGCACCGCGCAAAGCTCAACGGACACCCACAAAACTAGCAAAACCAAGTGCTGGGCCCACTCCTCGAGATAGAGGAAAGAATCGCATTGATGACAAGATTAAGAAACGAATGTCGACTCGCTATGCAGATATATCTAGTCCTACAGAGTTGACCGGTATTCCAGCGATGCCAACGATGATGGGGCTCATTCCAATTGGAGGCTCAGGTGGGCCGACACCTCGTGAAGGTGATGAGGACCTTAGGGATCGGACAGATACGAGAGAGGAAGCAAGAGCAGCCGTCGACGACAAAAAGCTATTGAGCGCGGAAGACTTTGATCCTGCGGCTTGTGAGTTTGCAAACTGATTTACATTGGAATGTCATTAACAGGTAAAATGATTTAGTTTTGAAAGTTAAACTAGCAAGTTCAACTGAGGCTGAACTCAAGACATTGGAATCGTCTTTGCGAGGTGCTGCTCAAGACACTTCCTCGGAACTTCAACGCAGCGTGTTTAAAAAGTGAGTTATTAAGAGTATCGCAAGTTCAATGTTCTGAGTCTCCCTTTAGTTATGCCGAGTTTGTTCTTATATCCAAAGAAATATCCGTCTTGGAGAATGAGATGCTGGAGCTCAAGGAGCTCTTGTCTGACTACAAGTCGATGCCATCTACTCTGCATATTCCAGATCCCACCTCGACATCCTCTTCCACTTTATCAACTTATAAGCGATCTTCTATTGCCGACCTCCGCGTTCTCTACTTCAATCAGATGCAGAATTTGCATTCATCGATAGAAGGAGCATCAAAATTCGTCCCAACAACACCAGGCCGTCATGTTGTCAGTGAAATGGAGAATGTTTCTAGTCTCAACGCTGCAACGTACAAGGTCACTGGAAGAGTAAAGTTTGCTATACTTGACGATGCTGTTCTTGTCGCTAAACGACGGAGACGGAATGCTGGCCCTGCAACAGTCGATGGAAGCGGCTCGACTGTGAATGAAGGCAAATTGGTTGCTGAGCGGTGTTGGCCGTTAAGTGAAATGCTAGTATTGGACACCAAGGACTCTCCGAGTAATTCATTTACATTGTCAGTCTCAACCAAACTCATTAAACCACTACAGGCATAACGAATGTATTCAAAATCCGTCACGGGAAAGAGACTCATGTCTATCGAACGGAGGCTCCTGGCGATAAAAAAGCCCTCCTTACGCAATTCCGTCAAGTAGCAGAAGAGCTATCTCAAAAACGAAGAAAGGAACGCGAGGGTGAACATGAAAGGCGGAAAAGCATGTGGCAAGGAGGAATTGGTGGAGTTGGCGTCAGTGTTTCTATTATCCAAACGCAGAATGACTAAAAGCGCCGACAGCGTGTTCCAGATGTACCTCCTGTACCTGAGTGGATGGCTGATCTGGCTCGTAGAGGAGGAGAAATCCCTGGAATGGGTACAGATGCTAAAGAAAAGGGAGAACGTGATGCAAGATGGGTAGGAGAGTGGTCAGACGATTTGACAATTGCTATCGCTCTGAAAGAATGGAGTAAAGCCGTTGACCTGGTTGAACAAGGTCTGTCAGAAGCCCAAGCTATACTGTCGAAAACTAACTGAAACCCACGCCTCTATAGGACAAGCTAAAGCCTCTGTTACGCCTGTTCTGGCCTTGAAATTACCACAATTAACAAGTCAACTCATATCTTCTCTCCTCGACACCCTTTCCTTTCCATCAAATCGGAAGACCACGGTTGTCACCTTGATTTCGCTCTTGAACCGTCTGAAAGCTGGTGCTGCGGCAAGAAATACGTTCCTTGAAATGCGAACGAGAGTGATCTCCGGGTTGACCAGGAAAATTCGCTTTGATGGCCATATCGGTACGTATATTGGCGAACTCGCGGTGGTGTACTTCACTGGGATTAAGCATACGGCCGACTGGTACTTGGCCAGCTTCAAAGAGAACGAGGTTGCAAGCGGTATGTTGTCTTATTGTTCAGTTCTTCGTTTCCTTACTTTCTTCTAGCTTTCATTACCTGGACCAAAGGCCAACTAGAAGAATATGCCGCGATTTTTAGGAAGCAAGTATATTCCAAAGATGTCGATCAAAAAGTAGTAGATGATGCCGTACATATTACTCTGACACAAAGTCGGAAGGTTTGTCCTGTACTCCCTATCGTTTTTGACATTTTCTCATATCCTTCAAGCTCCTCCAAGAATATGGTCTTGATTTCAGATACCTTCTTGATGAAATTTTACTAGAACACCCCAAGAAACTGTTGGAACCTACTCCGGCGCTTTCGTTAAACGAACACCGGGTCTCAAGAGCAGACGTACCTGTTCCAGCACTGTCTATTAAGAAGCCAGAACGACCTCCGCGTCAATCTCCAGCTGCACAGAGTCATGA